GAGTAAACAACCACACGACAAAACAAACTTTAATATTATACTTTTCATCACGTCAATGCTCCAGTTCCCAATTTGATGTTTAGAAATGTTACTAAATGTAAAACATCTATTGGGGTCAGCATGGGATTCCTTTCGGAAATCATGCTGACAAGACAAAACATCAATTCGATGAGGAGAATAGATTTTTGAAGACAAGTCAGTCAAGTTTCGGTCCTTCAAGCGGTAGGCAGAAAAGTCTCGGAAAAGTGTATCCCGAAAACGCGTTCGTTTCGATAAAGTTCTCATGGCGAATATGATGTAAGTAAATTCTTTTATTATTGGCAACCCGGCGGAAATCTGTTATCCCATCTTAATTTTACGGAATGTCTTTTAAATAAAATTGTAATTTAAATGTTTTAATTCATTTATTCAATTAATAAACTTGTGTCCTGTTTTGATCATGGTGTCTTATTCAACATTAAAGGAAGCCGAGATCTTTTTAGGTACAAGGGCGAGATAAAGTCCTGGTTGCACTCTGATAATTTAGGGTGTGACAATATCTTGTCACTGACTTAACTTTTGGTCATTATAGACCATTTTTGAGGGAAGACTATAAGAACCTTTTCGATTTCTAGCAAATTTCCAATAATACCTAGGGTTGGACTTAAAACTGCCATCTACATTTATTATATACTCAGCCCGACAATCACTAGAAAGTTTTTTACACAGATCTAAGAATAGAAAATTCCTGGTAGTTAAAATCAGTTTTATCATCCAGATACCTTTTATGGGCTTTTCTTTCCATAGAAGTTAAATGCCTAAGTTCTGCCGAGAATCATTTTCCTAAATGGTTTTGGATTTTTCTACAGGTACAGAATATGCAATTGCCTCGGCCAACAATGCATAAAGCAATGATGTAGCATTACTTACATCAGTGTTAGAAAGGATGTTGCCTTACTGAATTGATTCAAGATAATCATTAAGCCCTACAAAGTTACAATTTTTAAAATCATAGTAAAATTCAGGTACCTCTAACCTTGTTTTATTCCTTTCATCAAGCGATATCACACAATCGTAAGCAGTGTGGTGATGACTATCCTTAAAGAGAGGATCACTAGCCTTATTAATAACTAAGTTAGCCAAGTTTGTAATTGCCAAGTCTAAAAATACCCCTCTTATTGTCAATATGTTTGTTGATATTGTGAATTTCTATTTCTTGAATATTCGATGTTGGTGGATGATTGAAAACTATGGTTAGTTGTGGACAATATAATAAAAGATCAAGAGCTTTTACAAGTAGATCTGGATCGTTTGTATGATTGGTGTATTCATACTTCAAATGTTGATAATAACTTAAGATAGGATAGTTATTTGATAATTAATAATTCTGCTTTTTCCATTGAAGACTTAGGAGTTATCTTGGATCAACAGATAATTTCAATTTCCATAAAGGCTTCAAAGTTGCTTAGACTGGTTGAGACTTCGTACATTGGGGGTCATCCCAGGGAACCTCGCATGCAGTGTTGCCACATTATGCACACTTTCCTTAACTTAAGGACTGTGTGATTTATTACAATATCCTCAAAAGTTTCAGATTATACACCAGTTCCACTAGATGTATCAGAGTGACAATGAAACACCGATAAAGAGTTTATGTAGAAAAGTTTACAGAAAGCCACGGATAGTTACCCACTACACATGTTGAATAGTGTAATGTGTAATAGTAATAGTAGTGTAATGCAACGATTGATGACGACGAAGCGGTACCAGCTTCGGTTGGAAATATATCAGAGGAACTGTTATAACTGTTACCATCAATAAAAGATAATGTGAATCAGCTTTTGATGATAGATTAGGTGACAAGCCAAAGGTTTCACATAGATGAAACCGATCGAAAATTCCAGATTCTAAGCCTGAAGTTTACGGAAATGATAATTCACTTCAACTGTATTGAGAAAAGTAATTCTGCGCAAGATAATTGATTAAATTATTATCTACATGAAAAGATGAGGTACCTACCAGATTATTTTCTACCGAGTGCAAAAAAATTTCTAATATAAGTACCTACATTCATCTAATCTTCATGTACTCAAATAAATAAATATTTGGAAGAGCTATCAATCAATCAAAAAAGTACCTCATTGTCCAAGAAGTATTATAACGGGTCTTCAAAAAAAAAACATATTATCAAAGATTGCTATGGTTTTTAGAACGTTTGTCCTAGCAATATTTTCTCTAATTTTGTCAATGAACTTTGAATGTCAAAACGTCATGTCAAAAATCTGGACCAATAAAGAAATAATAATGCGACGTGCGTTTTCGTAATCAAAGCACTCAAATATCTTATTATAGTGAAAGAACAATACAAGATCACTTGCTTCTGAGCAAAAGCTTCTGGTAAAAGGTAAAAGTAGAAGCATTTACTTCATATCATATGAATAATAAAGACCTTTCACTTGCGAGCACATGCTTCAAAAAAAATGAAGTAGAAGATAGTAGCTGTTGTTCCAATCTTCCAATAAGGCTCGAGTGCCAAAGTAAACCAACGGATCATGTAACCCCTTTTGTTAATGAATTAACAAGAGGCCCATAATATGCTCGGTTTGCTAAGCGAATAATTAGGGGTGGGTTGATAGTTTTATAAGCACAGAATGGCAAGGGCGCCACTGAACTAAAAAAAAAAGAAAAAAATAATTGATTAAATTACATAAAATATGAGGGGGTGAAAATTCAGAAACACACCCAAAAAATAATCAGCAAAGGGTAAATGATAATTCTGAAAAGGAAATAAATAAGACACATAACTCAAATCTTGACATAGGTAAACCAATAAAACAATTAAGTAAGTTTCATATTAAAATACTATATATTTCACAGTGAGGTTGAAAAGCAAGAATTGAATAATTCATATAATAATTCAAAGTATAACATCAATTGCTGGTAAAACAATTTGAATAAAATCAGTAAATAGAGGTTAACTCTCAATCAGCAGTTTCATCAAATCCAAAAAAAAAAAAAATATTACAATGTACCTCAATATACTTGCCATATAAATTCATTAACAGTCGCTGGCCATACCATTACCGTGAAAGGAAAATATAAAGATTTAAGTTTGAATGAAATAAAATTTGTACCTGTAAGTAATCCAAAGTTGGGTTATATAACAGTTAAATGGTTTGGAGATATAAGAGAAATCCGCCAATATATAAGTTAGGACCCAGGGTAAAAATTGATCAATTTTCGACGATATAGGTTCTTACCTAATAATTTTAAATTTATAGCATGTTGTCCAACCTTGACTTCTGTTCAGATTATCAATCGATTAATATTGATAAAATATAGGACATTATTTACATATGGCGGTAGTGAAAGAAAAAAAATCTATAGTAAATAAGGCAAAACAAAAATCGGAAACAACTATTTAAAGTTCGCTAAGGTGTCAAGAATAACATGAATGAAATTAAAACTTTAAAATTCAAAGATAATGTCGATAAAATTTTTATCAATTATGGTAATTGACCATAAAGTAAATTTTATAAAAAAAAAAGATAATAAAGGTTATAAATGAAACTTTATACGAGCCTTCATTCCAACAGAAGGTAGAGCACGGTAGCCATCCATTCTCGATCATTTCACGAGGGAAACTGCACATGGAAGTTGCAGATTCTACCCTAGAATCAAGGTAGATAAGGTACTAGAAGTTCTCAGTTGTCAAATGTGGGGCACACGTATCGACTCGCGAGAGTCTTAATTCTTGTAGGAATCCCTCTATGCCACACTCCACGTAAATGGTGTTCTTATTGAAAATGTGGTCTTTTAGGAATAGATTTATTGGGAGAAACGGCTCTGGGACCTACAATACTTTTAATTTAAATTTTTTCGATAACACTAGTTTACATGGTTATTGTCCTTGAAATGAAAAGTGTTTTTTCTTAACAATTGAGGTGCACGTAGTTTCACAAAAATTATGAAAAACATCCAACACGTCACGTTGCTAAAATTTACTGTTTTTGATTTGCACAAGAAATATCTACAAAAATATTTCAAAACATTAAAAATGAATTGCCTTAGCTTTTTTCTTGTATTTGTTTGTGTCTGTATCTCTTATAATAGACCAGCAATAATCACCTAACATGGCCTGGTCCCAGTATCCTTGATAATTTTGCTCAAAAAATTTCAAATCCTGGTAAAAACGCTCTCCATGTTCGTCGCTGACTTGTCCGAAGTTTTCAGGGAAGAAATCCAGGTGGGAGTGAAGGAAGTGAATTTTTAGAGACATATTCACTCCCATGCGTTGAAAATTATTCACTAAAGCAGCAACTAGGATAACAAGTTTTAGCGAATTCCAAGCAGATCTCTCAACATCCGATAGACTGTTTTCAAATATGTCATTTTTCAACATTTTTTGATTTGCGGTCCGATAAAAACACCTTCTTTCAGTTTCGCCTTAGAAAGATTAGGAAAGATAGAGCATAAATGCTTAAACGCTGAACTGGTTTTGTCTAGAGCCGTGACAAAGTTTTTTACGATTCCTAATTTCATGTGAAGCGGTGGTAGAACAATTTTTTGTGGTGGTATCAGACATTTATGCTTTATATTTAGTTTACCAGGGCTATATCTACTCTAACTGGCCAGTCTTTCTTTTTATAATGATCTTTTTTTGCTCTCGAATCCCACAAACAAAAAAAACAATATTTTGTATAGCCGCCTTGTAAGCCCAAAAGTAAAGCAACTATAACCTTTAAATCACTACAGACAATCCAATTGTGATCTTTGTATTTTATAGGTTCAATTAGTGTTGACATCGTTTCATATGTTTCTTTGGTATGTACTGCGTGACCTATCGGGATAGAAGGCTTCTCATTACCATTATGCAGAAGTACTGCTTTTAAACTAGTCTTCGAAGAATCAACGAATAACCGCCATTCTTCTGGCTTATAAGGTTGCTGCATTTCTTGTAAAAGCCCAGCTATATCATAACAGTAGCAAAATTCGTTTTCTTCCTTAAAATATGCTGAAAATCATTTACTTCGCGTACGATATATACTAACTCTTGTATTGGGAGCAAGTAACCTCCATTGTTGCAGTCGTGAACCTAGTAATTCACCTTTGGATTTAGATAAGTGTAAATCTCTTACCAAGTCATCCAGTTCAGACTGAGTTCTGTGTGGTTCTTCATGGAAATCAACCAATTCATCTGAACCTGAGTCACTTTGAGATTTACCTTCTTCGGATTCCGTGGTAGTCATCGATGTTTTACTGGAACAAATGGGAGGTTCTGGAACTTGCTGCTTGTCTAAACTATGGATAGGTTTAGTAACAGAAGGAACATCTGCATATATAATTTTATTTTTGTTCTTATGATTGAAACCAAATCTCTTTGGGATACAAAAGTAACAGTCATTTTCGTGGTTGGATGGTTCCCTTCATAACATTGGCATATTAAAACTGAAAGATCTGCTTCCACCTGCAGCCCAGGAGCTTAGCGTTTTTCTACATCTTTCTCAAAAAATGTGAGGAGCCCACTTCTTGTCCTGGTGAGAGACCGAAATTTTGAAAGAACAAAAATACGCGTCTTTGAATGATTCCGTGATGGGATATCCTATCTTAGATATGATAAATTCACCACAAACATAACAAAGACGGTCAGAATGAACTTTACAAGACCTTTCTGACATTTTGATACTTAATATTTATTTAACTAAATACTACAATGCATCAAAATTTTAGAATAAATCCAAAACTAACTTGTGGGTAGTCCGAAAATAAAATGTGCTGATAACTTTTTTCTTTGACGTGCTAAAAATAACAACAATATATGTTTCCGTTTAGTTTTTGCCACTGAATAAAACGATATAAAATTCACTGGAAGGACAGTACTTTTTGTGTATTTTGTAACCTAGTGTAATCAACGGATTATTGCCTTACGCAACTTTATTTCGTTAAGATAATGCCTAAAGGCCAATAAGGTACTTTATTTTTCAACGAGCACGGTTGTCTCAAGAAGATGGCGACTTTCAGCAGTTCGACTTTCTAGCTCGACGGCATAATTCAAAAAGACCAGAGAATTGGAACGGACAAGGTGAGCAGATAGCGCTTCCTCTGCCAATTCATATTCCATTTCCATTTTCAGCCGTTTTCTATCCTAAGGAGGTACCAATTTAAGCCTGCAACCTTCTTTATCTCATCGTACCATCTTTGTTGGGGTCTTCCAATACTTCTCCTCTCTTCCCAAGGTCTCCATCTAGTGATATACCCGCTCCAGTTTTCTGTATGTCTGGCCACGTGTTCTGCCCATTGCCATTTTAGGGAACCAATTCTTTTTATTATGTCGGAGACTTTGATTCTTTCCCTTATCTATGTATTTGTTCTGTGATCTCTCAGGGAAATTCCTAAAATTCGTCTTTCAATGGCTCTCTGATGTACATTCAATTTGTGTTTAATTTTTCTGATTATCACCCAAGTCTCACAACCATACGTGACAACAGGCAGTATACACTCGTTATAGACGTTTGATTTCAAAGTCATTGGAATATTCATGCTGAAGATATACTTTAATTTGCCGTAAGCCGCCCATTCCAGTCTAATTCTCCTATCAATTTCCATTTCTTGATTTTGTTTGCCCGGTGTTATAGCTTGGCCAAGGTATATGTATGTTTCTGTCTTTTTTATTGTGCTGTCATGGATCGGTATTGTTTCGTCTGCATCTGGTGTATTTGTAATAAACTGGGTCTTTGTGTAGTTCATGTGTAATCCTACTTTTGCCGCCTCATCCTGTAGTTCTTCCGACATATTTATCAATTCCTGTTTGTCTTTTGCGAATAGTACAATATCGTCGGCAAATCTTCGATTGTGCAGGCGTTCACCATGTATGTTCAATCCTTTGTTTTCCTATTGTAGCTTTTTAAAAATATCCTCGAGCACTAAAGTGAATAGTTTTGGAGATATTACGTCCCCTTGCCGAACTCCTCTTTTGGCGTTTATTTTGTCAGATGATTCATGAAGTCTTATCGACATTGTCGAAGTCCTAGATGTTTTCAATGAGGTTAATATAACGTTGATCCACTCTGGCATTTCTCAAGGATTTTATTATTGCCCAGATTTCTACTGTGTCGAAGGCTTTCCGGAAATTGACAAAAGCCATCCATAGGTTTATATTATATTCTGTAGCTTTCTCGATCATCTGCCATACTGTGTGTAGATGTTCTGTCGTGCTATAAGGGCTTCGGAATCTAGCCTGTTCCGTTGGTTGGTAAACTTCAAGTTTTCGCTCTATCTGTTGGTGATTATTCTGGTGAATAATTTATATATTTGTGATAGTAAGCTTATCGGCCAGTAGTTTTCGAGATCAGTCGGGTCACCTTTCTTGTAGATCAGAAAAACTGCAGCATTCTCCCATCTTTGGGTATATGTTTTTCTGTTAGGCACTTATTGAATAGTTTTACTAGTTCTTGTCTCGTCTTAGTATCGCTTTCCTTGAGCATTTCAGGCAGAATGTTTTTTTCTCCTGCCGCTTTACCATTTTTCATCTGGGATAACCCTTTCTCCAGTTCTTCCATATTTATGTCCGGCATTTCTTCTGAGTTTGCATTTACTATTCGTATTTTGTCTTCTCTTGTCCTTGTGTTTGCTATTTTAGATTCGTACAGATCTCTATAGAAAGATTCCACAACTTTTAGTATCTGTTGTCTGTCTTCTACTATGTTGTTTTTTGCATCTTTTATTTTTGTTATCTCTTTCTTAGGTGTGTTATGTCTTTTAAATATATTTAGTCCTTTGTTCTGTTCTAATAGGGATTGCACTTGTTTCGTTTGATGTTTTAGTATATCCTGTTTCGCCATTTTTCTTGCTGTTTTGTTGGTTTCTGTGTATTCAATAGTGTCTCTTTTACCCTCGGTTATCAGTTTTCTCCTTTTCTCTAGTAGCTGTTACGTTTCTATCGACAGTTTTTCTGGCGTTTTCTCTAGGGGGCCTATTATTATCGGAAATCCTTGGTACTAACCGGTACGTCAAATTTGAATGAAAATCGTGCCTTCTAGTGTAATAATTCAATAATTGCTTATAATATAAGTAGCAGGGACCCTGTATTTTTAATTCTTGATATTCCATATGAAGTAGTAAAAAAAGGCAAAGCTACCGCAAGCGGATAACGCATCATTGTGGTACACAGATGGTTCGAAGACAGTATGTAGATGTGCTCTCTTAAAAGGCCTCTTTTAGGGCACTCTTGGCGATGTTGTCACGAAAACCAAGTCCATCAACAACAACAATCAAACACATGACGCGAGGACTTCCGCTACAGGAAGTCCTTCAAAGGCAAAATGTATTAGAGAATTCCCAGAAGCCTGCAGTAAAGGAGGCGAAGGCAGAGTGCTTAGAGGAGATAGTTGAACATATCAAGAACTGTTAAAAAAAATAAATCTCAAGAATTATTGAAGAAGATAAAACATCATGAAGAAAGAAGAAAACAGAAACAGACAAGAAAAAAAAAGAGAAATTAGAATATTCGAAAATAATTTACCAAAACAGTAAACATGCATCTGCTCTGGAGCAGATGCATTTTGTAAGTAGTAAATGCTTCCAATTTGAAGCAAATACTCTCAATTATTCATAAGAAAAACAGTATTTGCGACTTTTAAGTGAGAGGTTTTGCTTAAACTTTTATTCCTACTGGATGAAGCTGCTTCAGATTTTGGGAGAAAAAGCAAATGCTTTTTTTTATTTATAGAGTAAAATGATGTCGAAAAAGTGTAAAGTTACGAGTGCTTTAGATCCTCCCAAGCTTCCCATGTTGGTCATTATCAATAAAGCAGCGAATGGTAGCCAGAAAAGCTCTGTGATCAGAGAGCTCGGGATCGAAAACCTCACATTGCACATTTCCCTATATATTTGAGGCAATGTAGTTCATGGTTGTAGATGAGAAATGCGTGACTTGCATAAGAACTATAAACATGCATTCTCATACCATAGGAATCAAACAAACAGGAAAGATTCTGGGTTGACTTGCTGTTAAAACGTACATTTCTTTTGTTTGGAATTTGTACTCATTTTATGTTGAGGGCTTTGTGATTTTATTATCATTAGGTACCTACTTCGCCTATTTTCCCACAAGCTTTATTTCTAAATTAAGCCAGAATGATGAATATCAAACCAAATTTTACATTATACTGAGTGACATAGAAATTGCAACACCCAGTGAAGGTAAATATATTTTATTAATATTTTGGGAAGTAGTTAGGATGAATATGTATAGCAATCGATGACATTTTCAAACAAATTTATCGAAAGGAATTCTTAACAATTCAATAGTCAGTTGCGCCTCCACGTAAGTTCTGACATTCTGTAACTCTTCGTGGCATGCTACGAATCAGATGATCGATATCTGCCTGTGGTAGGTTCTCCCAGGATAATTTTACCTCATGATGTAGACGTTGTACATCTAGTAGAAGATGTGGCAACTGCCTCAGCCTTCTACCTATTATATCCCAGAAATGTTCAAAAGGCGATAAGTCTGGTAACCTTGCGGGCCAAGGAAGAAGGGTTACATTAGCTTGTTGGCGGAAGTTTTTAGTAACTGCAGCGGTATGTGGTCCCAAATTGTCTTGGATCTTGCAGTTTCTCGAGGTAGGGCAACGTAGCAGAGTCCGTCGCAAACGTGGAAAAAGGCACCTACTTCAATTTTGCATGGAGCGTGAGACTGCGCTTAAGGGGCGTTATGGCTTGGAGTGCCATAACAGTTGGAAGCAGGTCACCTCTATTGTTTTTGGATAGAAACATGAACGCTCAATCCTACATTAATGACGTATTACAACCTGTCGCGTTGCCCTACCTTCAGCAACTGCAAGATCGAATTTTTCAATAAGACAATTAGAGATCACATGCCGCTGCAGTTACTAGAAGCTTCCTCCAACAAGCTAATGTTCTCTTTCTTCCATGGCCCGCAATGTCACCAGACTTATCGACTATTAAACATGTCTGCGATGTGATAGCTAGAAGGACGAGGCTGTTGCTTCCTTTCAATAAATTTGTTTGAAAATGTCATCGATTATTATTCATATTTATCCCAACTAGTTCCTAAAATATTAATAAAACATATTTACATTTACTGGGTGTTGCAATTTTTATGTCACACAGTATATTAAATTAAATTATATTTATTCGACCTGTCAACGGTGTCAATGTATGCATAAGTTCCTTATCTGAAATCGTCTTTCTTGAGCGCTAAGCCAAGCATACCAATAGCAAAATAAACGTCAAAATCGTGTGTCGCTGAATAGAACTGGCACATTTTCCAGACATCTGCTTATTCAGATTTTCTTTTTGGATTCGAGA